GCCATTCCAAATTGTTATCTGTTATCTTACTCTGTCTGGCTAAAAATGTGTGCTCATAACTTTTCCTCCTCAGGCTTTGATTTAGTTTAATAGGATTAGAATAATGAAATATCTAAAGTACTTTGGCACGATCAAGCTGCTTAAGCCAATTAATAAGACAGAAAAGAATAACTTTATCTAGCAATAGGAAAATATTGAAAACTGTGCCAATGAGACCTTAAATACACAAGGCTTTGGAGCAGATCTGCTTTGCATTCTCATTTAGATTACAGACTGTCTGAGGAACAGGGGGGCTGAGACTGAGAGAGGTAAACAGGAAGTTGAGTTCAGAAAAGGACCAAATTCTTGACTGTTGTGTTTTAGCTTTTGGCCCCTGTTGTTTAGGTGAGCATTAAAATACAGTGAAATATTAATTCAAAAGGCTGCGTAAGATTTCACATAAGGGTGTGACAGTCTTGAAATTAGTTTATTGATCTGCTTATTTTTGAAAACAGCAATAGATGTGCTTATTACCATAAATATAACATACATTTGTTTTTAGAGGTACATGGCAAAAGATTGGACTGAAATAAAATCAATAGTAGGGTGACAATACTGAATATTTTTGATGCAAATTAAAATAAACAAAAAATAAGAAATTAAAATAAGCAATAGTTAAAGACCAAACTGAGGCACATAGAAGGTGTAAAGAGTGAGACTATCCATAGGTTTCAGAATGATGAGAAATGGGGACTGTTGCCATAGTTATTAACAATTTACAAGTAATAATTTACAAAATATATCTTTCGAAGTGGGAAAAGTCATCCATATTACATATAATAGTAGGGCTGTAATCTTTGACTGACTAAAGTCCTTTCGTCCTTTAGTCAGTCATTTGGTCTATTGTGTCGTAGTCAACCAAAATTTGTATTAGTCATTTTATTTAGATAAGAATTTATGTGGAACAACAGCTGAAAGGAGAAGTGAGTGACTGACTTAGCTGAAGATTTGATATGTAAAAAGGCACATTAAACACATAAGTAACACATATAAATGCATTGTTTCCTAGTACTTTTTTAAGTTGCTGTTGTCAGATCATAGGCATACATGGTACTTTTGAGACCTTTTGTCACACACCCTTTTTAGCTGAATTATCGATCAACAGGACATGTCTTTATTTGAACAAAAAATTCTTTTGTTCACTACAGTCCTTTATTACACTAAGCTGAACCCAATGAATAAAAGAAAATGTTCATCATACCACCCACCCACATCTGGCGTTTTGCTAGACTTTGATTGCATATGTATGAACCAGATCAGCTAGCATACTTTAGGAGTGTCTACAAAAGCATTTTATATCCCTGTGATCGCTGAAGGATTTCTCATATTAAAGAACAGACATGCTGGCTTTTTGCTTTGTTGCGAGTGTAGCCTGAGGTGCAGCGGACTGTGGTCATGAATATGTATGAGGTAAAGGCCTGGTTCAGTGTCTGACAGTGAAGGACTTGAGGTTTGAGATTGTACAGATGTAGGGTGGGAAAGCAGCTTGTGACATTGTATAGCTTTAGTTTATAATAAAATGTCATTGTAAAAGAAGAACAGCTGTGGACACACATTGTACATCTGGTGCAGCTCTAGACCAGTCATTAAGCAGAGTCACCTTATAGCAGATGAAAAACTGCTTCATCATTTCTTCTTCTGTACACAGTATATACCAGTGTTTCCTACAGAAGACAATTATGCCCCCCCCATAGTCTAAAATAAATGGGACTATATATTGGCATAACAAAATTAGACTTTGTTACTCATTGTATTATAACAGTATAAAGGAGAGACTACTCACATTTTTACATGTACATTTATATTCCACAAATTGAGTGAGATGAAGTTATTCAAATAATAATTTGTGCCATCAGAGTATTAACAAAATCACATTCACAGAACAGAAATGAACCTTTTCTGAAAAGCTTTTGAATGATATTGAGCTGTATCAGAACAAGTATAAAACCACATAGACTAGTATACACCCATGGACCACTATGAAACCTACCTGGGCAAATGAGGGATTACACAGATATAAGGCCACATGGTAATATCAACAAAATACTATTATTTAATGTTGAAAGTAAGATTCTATGGTCTAAAGAAAGAGTGTTTCTATTATTATCATTGTGGTCAAGTTTGAAATTTTGGCACCATGACAACACTAATTTAGATGAATGTACATGACAAAAAGCTACCTAAAATTAATGTATTGTAAAGGTTTTATGTTTGTCAGCATCACCACCATGTATTTATGTATTTGATGAACTGATCAAAGCAGAAGTTAAAAGACCGTCTCTTCCTATTTCTGAAGAATTGTTTTTCTTTCCCCTAAACTCTGGTATGATGAATAGTTCGAAAATCGTGTAAGACTTCTTGGAAAGTACTAGAAGGCGTTGCTATTATACTGCCATCAGATACATGGTTCTGGCTTGAAACTCAACTGAGACAGTTTCCCCAAAATAATATTTGTTTAAGCTTCTTTCTAAATGTTTAAATAATTTTGTATCTGCTTTAAGTCCTTAATTTAAAGGGGCACAGTGTAAGTTTTCTGGTGGAGGGTCTGCCACCTGCATGTATACATGGAGATGTTATAACTTTGCATTTGGACAGATATTTTATTGATCACAAACAAAATTCAAAGTTCAGCAGCAACATAGAAACCAACATAGCAACATAGAAAATATATTAAAAGTTTGTAAATAATTCACCTTTAAGCGAAGAAATGCGAGATAAAAATGTTTAATCCCCTAGTTTGGAATATGCCAGGCAAAGCAATAACATCTCCAAGCAGGTGGCAGACCCGGCCTCCACCAGAAAGTGCACCTTTTTATACATTTTATTATCAGTCTAAATGTACAGCTTTTATATTATCGCTGCGGCTGGCAGCCAGTCCCCTCTTCCATTTTATCTCATATGTCTTCATCTTTCTATTCATTTTCACTGAGAACAGAGCGCTCTGAACTCTAATAATGAAGGCACCGAGTAAATTTACAGTTTGGAGATGAGAAGAGGACAGAAAGGTTGGAGTAAATGTAAACTGTTGAGACAATGTAATTAAGAGGACAGAGAGGAGGCTTAATAAGAGCAGATAGGAGGCTTTTTAAAAAGGAGGAAACTAGATCCTACAGCTCTGTGTTATGAATGTAAATCAGGAAGTAAAATGGCCTTGAGTAAAGAGAGAGAAGAGCTTTTTGTATATAGTTTTCAAAATATATCTGTATTGAGCCTTATAAAGTTTAGTCTAGGCGTCTTTAGATAATTTAAAGATGAGGGTTTAAATTCTGCTTGGTTCCCATGGGTCATTACGCACTGTGCAGCTATTTGAAAAATGTAAATACTATATTTTACAGGTCTGACTTGTTTTGTAGAAGAGAGTGTGTACCTTTAGTACCTCAAAAATCATGTGAGATTGACTATTGTGATAAACTTAGTTTTATAATATTTTCAAGTTCTGAATGTTCGCTAGAGAGCTTCAGCCTCCAGTCGCAAAAATTTGGGCTCAGCCTCTCATTCAGTGTTTTTCTGTATGTTTACTGCTTTCTACATTTGCTATACATACAGAAGACATCAAATATATGAAGATAGATGGAACTGTGTAGCAAAGGAAAAATTGGTAAATAACTACAGAATATTTATTTGACAAGCAAAAGGTGGGATTTTTTTTTCTTTTTAATTTAGTAGAGGTTTTTGTGTGTGTGTGTGTGTGTGTTTTTTGCTACATAATTATTTACTTCCTTTATTGTTACTTCATATTTTTGGTCTTTTCTGTGTGTATTTCAAACCCAACCGACATGGATTTTTTTGCGGCTCATATGATACTGATAAAATGGGAGTTGGAGCTGCTGATAACCGATATAAAAGTCGATATATTTAGTGATGTAAAAATTCACTATAAATCTTCAAGTGATTATAAAACTTAAGTCAGGCTCTTCTGGATTTTAAATTAGGTTTGTTTAGGCTACATTTATTGTTATTCTGCCCCTTTGCGGTTGTATTTAAAGACAGTAGGTCAGCCTAATGGAATTTTTGCATGACATTCTTGTCAGTAGAGAAAGTACGTAATCTACCGCTATCAATCTTTAGCAGTAAATACATGGCGCTGCTGTAATTAATTATGTGTAAATTCTGATCATTCACACCTCTATTCACAGCTCATTTACATATCAATACAGATCAAATAATATGTACACAGCAACTATAGTCACTCTACACAAAGCCAATGTAAGAAACAATAGGCTGTTTATGTGTGGTAGTTTACAGCAGCTAAATGCTAACCAATGAGAAAGAACCAAAAGTAGCTTCAAAGACACATTTGTAACCCTCACCGCTCATACATGCACCTCTCAGATCACAAGTCTTCACACAGTGTCCTTTCAATCCTGACTCAAAACAATTGTGGGTAAAAATAATATAATCCAGCAAGTTGACAGCTGATGTGTGTGTAAACAAACACACGTGAGTGACGTGACTCTGGGGGTGTGTTCAGGGGCAGTACTCGGCCATACAGACACAGACAAATTACTAAATATAAATACTGATGTGGTGCCACATATTAGGACATTTATCTGTCTGTACATTGGATTAAATGGACATAATATAGAGAGTCTAAGCTTTATAACGAGGTATAACATGCCCACCTGGACTATCGGTCCATATCGGCAAGATTTAGGCCGATTGTCAATATGTCTCCAATTGCCCATATGGACCGATAATATCAGGCAAACAATATATTGGTTAGGCCCTAGAAATTAGTAAACATACAGAAAAAAAAAACATTTAATGAGAGGGTGAGTCCAAACGTTTGACTGCTAGTGTGTGTATATATATATGTATGTATGTATGTATGTATGTGTGTATGTGTGTATATGTGTGTGTGTATATATATAATATATATATGTACTTCAGTCTTCTTCAACATAACCTTCACAAATACGTTTACTTTCTTGCACTTAAAATGTTCTTTTTTCTCTTTGTAGAAGCTGTTTGGCAGCCATGAGCCCTCCTCTGTCCAGCTCTGGGTTTCTTACAACAGGCAGCCCATGAAAGCAGCACGGTTTATGACCCGTCATCCAATCACTGTAAGTGTCCTGTGCCTGATGTTACTCACATATATGCTGTGTACTATACTGGAAGAAAGGACATTTTTAGACACCTTTTATAACTGTGCCTTGGTTTGTAAATGTTTCAAGTAAAACAGTAACTATTCTTGGCAGCTTGAGTGCTTCTAGGTTTATTCCCAGTTGATTTTAGTCACAGGAACTGACTGGCAACCCAGGCTCAACATAAACAACTTGATTATGCACAATGTTTTTGTAATTAAGAATAAATAAATCCTACAGTGGTTGTCAGTAAAATCAGAATTTGATTAGAACATGTTTACTTTCTATTAAGGGACACAGATAGGAAATGCTTATAAAATATTTTAAAGAAAGAAATCATGAATACAAATCCTATATATAGTACCTTTTAAGCATGAATTCTATATAGCATCTAGTTTATCCTAAAATATTGTGTAAGTTGCAATTACTATATAAAGATGATTGTTTCAAATGAGTGTCCACTTCCTTAATCTTTTCTCTGTCTGACAGGAGTACTACATTGCTGACGCATCCGAGGACCAAGTTTTTGTGTGTGTGAATCATGTCAACAACGTCACGCACCTGTACATCTCTGATACTCAGGGCCTCTCCTTCTCACTGTCACTGGAAAATGTCCTATACTACAGCCCTGAGGGCTCAGGCAGCAACACACTCATCAAGTAAGTGCAAATAAGTTAAATATATAGATAATATAATAATATTAATACATTTTATTTTACATTTTTTATTCAACACTGGATATGTTGTATCAGCCTGTGTCATACTTTGACTCAATGACAGCTGGATTGAACCAATAACAGTGAAGTGTGAACTTTAGAAAAAGCACATGACTTTATTTACTTTTTAGAGGGAGTAGAAAAAAGAGATTTGTGATAAAATTGAAATCATGATCCGGCTCCAACAAAATTGTGATATTCATCTTTAGATAGATCTCTCACTCGTATATGACATGTACAAAATATGCTCAAATAAGTGACTCAAACTGAAACTGAAACAATAGTGAATCATGTTAGGTCAAAAAACACATCCTGCATGGTCTCACTTTCCCAATATTTGACACTCATTACAGTACAAAACAAGGAACTGACTGAAATCTCACGTCTCTTTTTTGTGACTTTCAGTCTTCATCTTCCTTCCCGATGTGGCACTGGTTTGAGTCTGACCTTTGTCTTAAATTTGTTGTTTTTCCGCTCGAGCTTCTGGGTAATCACATCACAAACATCCTGTGTGCAGATGGCAGATGGGGCACTGTGACGGCTCAGGTGCTGCTCTGCCAATGATAATATCTCATGTAATAAACAAGGGTCCTCTTAATGGTGCAGCCAGGAAACACTTTAATGTTTCATAGCTGTCCTCAGTGATGTTCACTGATGGGGAACTGTTGTCATGGGTACTAGAAATTAAGACAGAAAAAATCACTGAATAGAGTGACAGCAGTAGTAGTCATGGTTGTACTGCAGATTACTTAAAATATGATAGTGCTATGGTTCTCAAACATTTTGCACTTCTGGTGATTCATAAATTCTCTTGTTTCTTCTTCTCAAATATTTGCTTGATTTAGTTTCAAATCTATAGTGGCCCATTTTTAGACCTGGCGTGCATTAACTTAGACCTGCAATAGTTCTCTTATAGATCCTATTAAGATCCAGTGGAACTTGGAAAGACATTTATTACTTTTGTGGTGCATAGTGTAAAGTATTTGAGAACCACTTCCATTCCTCATTTTTACTTTTAAATTGCCATTTGGCAGTATAATTTTTAGATTTTGAGTTTCTTTTTCACAGGAAAGCCAGATGGTGCCATCTGCATGCAGTTATAATAAGCAGGTAGCTAATGATATTTTTAAGTGCATTAGAGTTACTTGCCTTTCTTTTTCAGGTACTTTGCAAATGAGCCATTTGCTGATTTGCACCGTGTGGAGGGTCTGCGGGGAGTGTTCATCGCTACACTCATAAACGGCTCTGTCAGTGAGGACAATATGAGGTCTGTCATCACCTTTGACAAAGGAGGGACTTGGGAGCTGCTCCAGCCACCTTCAGCCGACAGCTTAGGAGGCACCGTGGACTGCCAGGTACATTCATTCAATATGTGCTGTTTTGGTGATAATGCCATTTTTTGAGTCAGTGCTGCTCTGTTTAATGCAGCTCCATGGTCAAACACAGACACTCCTATTGTTCAACTTCCCTCTTTGAGTGGCAGGTGGATTTAGCCAATCACAATGAAGTGTGGGCTATTAAAAAGCAGCAGATGGCTTCAGTTACTTCTTGAAGGCAAAGTAAAAAATATTTAGTGTACATGAATTTGAGATTAAAATTTAAATCATTTAAATATTTTTTGGCATATTCCCTCTTCTATTATTGATTCTAAGAAGTTTTGAAAATGGTACACAACATGTCTAAATATTATTCAGTATCTGTAAAGAGCAAAGCTGCAGACTGTGGTTTGTACTATCTATTGGAACAGGAACTATGGGTTTACACTTATATTTTGACAACACAACTTTCTGCAACAGTTTCTTTCCTATTATCTTAATCTTCATCTAAACCAAGGACATGGCAAGCACATGGACACATGTGGTCAAAATTAGTTTCCTCCGCAAGGTGGCTGGGCAGTCCCTTAGAGATAGGGTGAGGAGCTCAGTCACATGGGAAGATCTTGAAGTAGAGACATTGCTCCTCCACGTCGAAAGTAGCCAGCTGAGGTGGCTCGGGCATCTGTTCCTGATGCCTCCTGGGCGCCTCCCTCTGGAGGTGTTCCGGGCATGTCCCACTAGAAAGGGGCCCTGGGGAAGGCCCAGGACACACTGAAGGGACTATGTTTCTCGGCTGGCCTGAGAACACCTCAGGGTCCCCCCGGAGGAGCTGGAAGAAGTGTCTGGGGTGAGGAAGTCTGGGAGTCTCTGCTTAGACTGCTGACCCGCAGAAGCGAAGAAAATGGATGGATGGATCATCTAAACCACAAGTTAACAAACTGTTTTTTGCTTTCAGCTGAATAAAGGGTGCTCGCTGCACTTGGCCCAGCGCTGGAGTCAGTTGCTCAACATCCAACTCAGGAGAATGCCCATCCTGTCGAAAGACTCTGCCCCTGGCCTCATCATGGCCACAGGTGAGAGAGCATCACCATACACACTCATCAAGACATTTAATTTAAAGTCCACTAAGTAACCTCTGGTGGAAGGTATGCCACCACAGCATGGTTTTAAGCTTATCTTATCTTGCATTTGTAAAATTTCTGGCATTTTAATTGCCTTGGACCCTGCCACCAAATAGTTAATCAGTGCACCTTTAAAACCTATAGTTTTGAGCATTGTCACAGAATCAACAACCTAATAAATATCTGATTAACTATAAATATGAAACTGAAATTGATCCTTTTAAAATCACTTTATAAATGAACAAGTGGTAGAATTATAGGTTTTATTTCATGTTATTAATGGATAGATGACTTTCGAATTACAAACAGGATTTGCCAAATTCCCCAATTTAGGTTATAATTAACATTGAAAATGCTTGCATAGTCAGCAGCATGCATAAGGTGTACGTTTTTTGCTGAAATATACAAATTGTGAGTAACAAATCTAAACTATTACTCTGTGTAATGAGTGCCTTGACTGCCAGCAGAAGTGAGTAAGCTCTGCAGTGCATGTCGAATGTGCCCCCTCTCCCCTCTCTCCTCTTTCCCCTCTCTCCTCTCCCCTCTCTCAGCTGGTCCCTTTAATTAAACTCTTATTGGATAAAGGTGCAGAGAGAGATTGAGAGTGTGAGCTGGCATCAAGCAGAGTGGTGCCCTTCGTTATCGCTCTCACACAGATGAACTAATTACAGCTGCAGCACATGGGTCCTCAGAGCACAGCCAACATGCTCCAGAATAAAGGTTTAGGCCCACAAGTTTATGATAACATAATTAGAATTAACATATTGGAATGATATACAGGTGGGAGACTGATTCCATTATTAACAATTGGCAATTGTTATTGTTAATAGTTGTAATGTGATAATTTAACTAATCAACTGAAAGTTCGCAATGTGCAGTGCGTATCTATCTGGGCTCAAGGGGTTACGTTTTACACTATAAAGAAGAATAATAGTCATTAATTGGATATCTCAAGTGATTTACTTTGCAATATTTTAAAATATAATCACAGACATGTATGAGTTAAGACACAAAGGGGGCCCAAAGCAAATAACTTTTTTTCAGTGAAGATTCTGCCAGTCAGCATTAAAAAAAAAACTCTGCCAACCTATTTCCAAATCAATGCACGCTGCATTCTCTAAAATATTAAAAATGTAAAAGTCAGTGTGTATTAGCTAAAAAAAATACATATCATGCATGAAATTAAATAAAGTTAAAGGTGCACTGTGTAACATTTCTGGCGAAGGGTCACTCACCTGCTTGTCTTCATGGAGATGTTATTGTTTTGTCTGGACTCTCCCAATATGACATTAAAAGAATCCACATGCTTTTACACAATCTCACGGGCTTTTATTGACTTAAAAACCTGCATTCTTACTGTGAGTGGGCTTGTCTCTCCACAGATCTGTGGTGTCACCTGCTGTCTCCGTAGAGATAAATAAGTGTAATGTCATACTATGGAACATTTGAGGCAATATTTCTATGGAGAGAAGCAGGTGATGGACTCTCCACCCGAAAGTTATACAGGGCACCTTTTAAGAGCTGATACTGATCTGTTTGAACATTAAATTGTAATAATTAACTGTTGGAGGATAGTAAACACAGTACAATAACATACTAGTTGCCAGTGATTCCTGGAATAAAAGGCATTTTGAGCTTTGAAGAGGTTTTGGCAGAACACACTGTTTTTGTGAAGTGTGGACCGAGTACAGATATATTGTTGGTATGTCTTAACAGCGAAAGTGATAGAAGTCTAGTGTCCCACTGCAGCCTGTTCATACTTGCCAGTTTCATATCAACCTAAGCACTGAGCACCTTTTTGAGCATGTTGCTTATTGTCCCTGGCCTTTTCTCAGAGTGTAATGATATTTAATGAGAAGTGCTTTCACACTGTGGTGGCGTTTAATTCGTTTAGATGCATTGTTACGGTGTTGGTAAAGAGACAGCTAATCTAATCAGTGTTTGTGAACGCTATTTGCCTGAAATGATATGTGATAATTAACAAATACCTCCAAGCCACCATGAATAACAATTTGTTCTGTGTATATTGTTGTTAGATTTATTATTACCCTTTGGCTTTTATTTTATTTTGTTGCTAACACAATTCATACTTGTCTGACCATACAGACTCAACTTATCCAGGGAGCTTAGACTTAGACAAACTTTACTGACCCACAAGGGAAATTATACACATGTACTTTGACTTAGGCCAATGACATTTAGAGGAGTGATAGGTCACATGAGGACAAACCTAAAATACTTGATATCAAACAGGAATTTGGCCATATTGGATGGAATGGAAACCTATCTAGTCCTAGGTTTTTGATCAGAATTAGCTCACTCTCCACATGCTACACTTAGTGATGCTGATAATCAATAATTTTCCTTTTGTTTTTAGATATTCATTATGATTTTTTGTGTAACACAGCATCAAAAAATGCCATAATTTCCTATTTATTTGATACCTGTTCACTGCCTGTTCTAATTGTCAACTCCACTTCACAGCAACTCACTCAAAACCCTTCAAGGAGAATAGTACTTTTGACCAGAGAATACTTTTATGTGAATGTGGGAATAAATTCAACTGTATCTTGTGCCTTCCAGGATCTGTCGGTAAAAACCTGGCTAACAAGCCCAATGTTTATGTGTCCAGCAGTGCCGGAGCCCGTTGGAAAGAGGTAAGAGGAAGATGATAAGAAAAACACAACTTCAAAACATCTTAGATCTTTCTGCAGCTGCTGGAAAAGTTTAGAATCTAAACTTCTAACTAGGTCCAAGTGGAACTGAAATTGTGGAGTAGTAGTCTGTTTTTTTTTCTAATTGTTTAAGACACTTAGTTGCTCTCGGACCTAGTTAGAAGTTTATTTCAGTTTACTAAGATTGCGGGAAGGGAAATTAATTAATACATTCAAAATAAGTAGCAAAACCAACAAGAGACTGGTGTATATGTACAAGTAAAAAAAAATATACAGAGAAATATAGTAATACAAATAAATCTCTCAACTATACAAGAGGTCATATGGAGAAAAACAGTGCAAAGATGAAAGTGTGATTGACATGACATGGCTTATCTGTTACATAGTTCTGTTATTGTACTGAAATTGAAATAAACTTTAAACATTTTCAGGCTCTTGCTGGCCCTCACTTCTACACCTGGGGAGACCATGGAGGGATTTTGATGGCCATTCCACAAGGAGGCTCCACCACAAATCTAAAGTAAGTCTTTACTTTAGGATCAATAATGGCATTTCTCTGATTGACTATATAACTCAAGACATTCAAACAGCCATGAAATTTACTATTTACACATCAACTCAAGTTATTCATGTAATAATAAATTTTGAGGCTCAATATTCATTATGTATAACTTTTCTAGATACATTAAATTTTTTTGTGTGTGTTAAGAATTGAATTGAGGTTACTATATATTACAATAATTAGGACCTAGATATTAACTAAGTACTTAAATGTTTAATTCCGCTATTTAGTTGTTACAGTTTATGTTTTTATAACTATATGGTTCACTTAGAAAAGGATTTACCGGGATTATCCTGCTTTAGTGCTATTGTACCAATGATATAAAATACATTCATTATTATCATTTACCGTGGTATTTTCTCTGGCAATATATCATACTATGACATTTGTTATCGTGACAGGCCTAATTCAAACTGTAAAACCCTGCAGATTGCTTTTGCACTGAGTAAGAGTTGGATGTATTACTAACAATGAATATGTTGTAGATCTTTTATAGTAATATTTGAAAGATCTAATATTACACAACATTGACTGTTGTGAGTTTTAAGCCATAAAATCATCATGTTGTTACATAATCAAAAACATAGTTGTGTTTTGTTTCATTTACACATGTTTGAATAACCCTTTATTATTAGTCTGTCTACATCCTCACTGCTCAAAATGCTCTTTTCCACCTTGTGATGTCATGTAGTGATAGTTTTCAAGTTAACAGCTACATCTGACCTTATGTTCAGTGGAAATGGGCAATTCTAGTGCTCAAATCATCAGAATGATTCTAGTGATGGTGTCTGGAGTTTAAAAATATTTATAATGTACTTGTGTTACCTCATTACATCACAAGGTGGAACTCCAGGTGTGTTTTGATGAGGAAATAATAATATAATAACACTGGTCAGAAAATACTATAATAATATGTGCCTATAATAATTATATAATTATTATGGAAATGAATGAATATTGTTTAAACTTTCATCATTCCCAGCTCAACTGAAAATACAGTGTGCACACTTTGATATATTCCTCTTTCAGTTGCTTAAAATGCACTATAATATTATAGATTTAATAGGTTCTGACTGCATATTTTCAGGTTCAGCACAAATGAAGGGGAGACTTGGACTGACTTTAAGTTCTCAGACAGAGAAGTTTATGTTTACCAGCTGCTGACTGAACCTGGGGAGAAAAGCACCATCTTCACCATCTTTGGCTCCTATGCCGACCAGAGGCACAGCTGGCTTATCCTGCAGGTCAACGCCTCCAACGTGCTGGGTAAGACACAACTTGTCCATGGGAAGATATGGTGAAAATGATCTAGACTTTTAGCAACTGTGTGTAGTGTTATTTTTACAACTTTCATGAAATACCATCTATTCATTCATTCATTAATTTATTGCTCATGCCTTTTAATTTTGTTAGCATCAATATAAAAAGACAAAAACAACAAATGTGACACTTAAATAAATATATGCCCCAACCATTATGTGCCTTGTCATTACTGGTATGAACAAAAGGAACAGGAAGAAGAGAAATCAAACTTCAGTACTGCTTTATGCTGTACATTTGACATTTTGCTCTTTTTATACCTACAAGATATGGGAAGTGTATTTAGAAACTATATAAAGCTTTTCTTCAAATGAAAAGATTTTATTTGACATTTCTGGCATATTTAAACACCCAAGAAATGATGTTGCTACAGTGCATACTCTTATTATTTTAACACAAATACCAAGGCATACAGATAATTCAGCCATAAAAAGTAACAGACCTAACAGAATAAAAAAATATCTATTCATTTAATCATAAAAATATTAAATAACATCCTTTTGAGATGATCCATACAGTCATCATCATACATTTCTGACCTTGACTTTTGTTACTTACTACACTGTTAATTTGTTTGTTTTGCCTCTTGTGCAGGTGTCCCGTGTTCAGAGGCAGACTACAAGCGCTGGTCTCCATCAGATGAGCATGGAAATGAGTGTTTGTTGGGCAGAGAGATCACATTCAAGAGGAGGGCTCCACATGCCACATGCTTCAACGGAGAAGACTTTGACCGGCCTGTCACTATTTCCAACTGCTCCTGCACCAGACAAGACTACGAATGGTAAGGGACCAAATTAACTTTGCAACATCAGTGTAGAATAAATTGTAGGAGCCCGAGAGATGAAGAGAAGAGGCGTGGCACTGGAGTTCTAACACATCCAGCACTCAGAGACCCCACACCACACGCACGCACACGCACACACACACACATACACACACACATTATAATAGTCTTGTCTAGTACAGTTCATATCATATTTAAACTACGTAATACAGTCTTTAGTGCTGTCAGGATTAAAATTTCAAACTGAAATTTCAATACTCAATACCGTATTTATAGAAACTAGAAACTAGAAACTAGTTTTAGTATCTTGGTGTTGACAACCCTACTTAGAAGCTTTAGCAAGTATGAAACACTTAAACTTTATGGGCTTTTTTCAAACTGCTCAAAACAACTGTGAAAGCAATTATTAAACCAAGCATGCATGACCCTTTGCTTGTTCAGCTTTTTAAGCTAGACGTTCGGCATTGGTTCTTAAATTCTTTTCTGAGTCCGTGTTGGTCAAAGTGAAACAGCCATGTGGTTAAATCAGTCACGCTTCATTTACATTTGGTTTAACTTGACAAATGAAAATAATCTATCCGAAAAAGTGTGTTGGAGACCTTTGTACTATACTTAAACTGGTCTGGCTCAGATTTTTGGCTGTTTATGCTTTGTCCTGAATGATTAACTATGTCCTTTCTCATTACCAGATTCAATATTTATTCTAGAAACGACTTTACAATACATTTCAATAAATGCATCAGTAAATCAACAGATAATGCTTTTTGTTCATATAAATAGTTTAGATTGAAACTATAATTTGTATGAATAACACACTGATAAAATAAATCTTGCTTACTATGCTAGTCTGAATTTTATTATTCCTCCCAGATTACCCATCATAGAAAATAATGAGTACACTGTATTAAAATGGATGCTTGGTTAGCCAGAGGGCACTCTCACAGCTTTTGTCTTCTCCTTTTCTTTTTGTAGCGACTACGGTTTCAAACTGAGTGAGGACCTGTCTCTCCAGGTGTGTGTACCTGATCCCGAGTTTTCAGGTGACCTCTACGCTCCCCCCGTCCCCTGTCCTGTCGGCACCACTTACCGCCGCAGCAAAGGGTAAGCTTCTATTATAGGCTCCAGAAATGGGCAGCTTGGGACTCCTTTTATGTGCTTCATTTGCATAAAGCTAGTGTCTGCTACAATGCCAGACTCCAATTTACATTTTTATGAGACACGATGTGTTGTGGTGTTACTAGAAATCATTTCAAGACTGTGAAATAATGTTGGCATTGGTCTAGCAGCAGAGATGTTGTCAGTCATATAATATATACGCATGTTGTGATTTACAGGCATAAATGATACATGCATAAATACATATTGCTTATTAAATAATTTAGTTTGTTTCAATTCGTTGCATTGCAGGTACAGAAAAGTGCCTGGTGATAGTTGCAGTGGAGGAGATGTTGAGGCCAGACTTGATGGGGAAATGCTGCCGTGTCCTGTAGGAGGTAAGCTTTCTGGTAATTTGTGTAACTTAAGATGGGCCAAGTAGAATATTAATACAATTATTTAAAGGGCCCATATTACGGTATTTTCTGATCTATGTTATTATGCTGTTTCTTCATCAAAAACATACCCAGTGTTGTTTTATTTCATTCACACATTTAGCACACCAACCAAGTTCTTCTCTCAAACAGAAAACAGCTTGTGATGTCATGTGGTAATACACAAGTATTCCACTGTTTTTTTTAACCCCATATGCTTTCACTAGAATAATTTGGATAATTTCTGCCCTGGAATTGTCAATCTCTATTTAATTTAAGGTAAAAGGTGTCTGTTAACTTGAAAACTACTGCTTCATGACATCACATGGAACAGAGCATTTTGAGCTTTGGAGATGTAGACAGACTCAAAATGTGGGTTACTTAAATATGTGTGAATGAAACAAAACACAACTCCAGGTTTGTTTTTGATGAGGTAGCATCATTCTAACATGGCACAAGCTCACAATAGTCAGTTTTGTGTAATATGCATTATGACTTATGCTCATAATAAAATTCCTGTATGATGCTAATTCTTTGTTTGCTATACACAATTAAAGTCAAACAAGGAGCAATGCAAAACAATACAAGATTAATTATTAATTTGAAAATAAGAAAGCTGAATGTAATGGAACTTGCCAGCACTCATTTGAATTGTTTGTACACTGCATTTATCTTACAGAGAGTAATGAGTTCATCCTGTACGCTGTGAGGAACTCCATTCACCGCTATGACCTGGCCACAGGCAGTGACCAGCCACTGCCACTGTCTGGTCTGAGGGAAGCTGTGGCTCTGGACTTTGACTATGACCGGAACTGCCTCTACTGGGCCGACATCTCACTGGACACTATACAGGTGAGGGAGGGGCTGAAGAACTCTCGGCAATGGACTGGTTGAAGGCTGATTCACACTGGCACGCACACCACATCAGAACTCACTCTAAACTAGGACTAAACTCAGACCAAACAACGAAGTGCATTATTACCAAGACAAAGTAGAATTCTTACCTTGAAATTTCGATGATATTGTGGTACTACTGTGCTGTAAAGTTAAGTGCTTCTACCTTATGCTTAGTTCCACAAGGTTGATTGGGATGCCAAATATAATGTTCTTTATCATTAATAGTTCATTTTCTTTTGTTGCCTCTCAGCGTTTGTGTCTGAACGGCAGCACAGGTCAGGAGGTGGTTGTGAGAAAAGACCTACAGAACGTGGAGGCCCTAACTTTTGACCCCGTCAGTCGGCTTCTGTACTGGGTGGATGCTGGTGCACAAAAGATTGAGGTAGGTTGTCACTGCTTTTCAACTACAGTTTTTCATTATTTGCTTCAGAATTCTTTACTACTTCCATTGTTGTTTTCAGGTTTCTAATCCCGATGGCGACATGAGGCACACTCTGTTGAACTCCTCCATCTTGGAACACCCCCGAGCTCTGGTACTGCTTCCTGGAGAAAGGTAATCCACAAATGCTTTCCTTAGAGGGACTTTAGCACAAATTACTCCTCCTATATCTGGATTCATCAATGCCTTGTGTATGCAGTTTAGGTTCTCCTGAGACCAAATAAACCTTACCCCACTCATTCTTCTATATTAAATTAGTCTATGCCATTACCAACCCTGCTGGTTCAGATGTTATACATTAAATCCTTGTTTTTAATTTATTACACTTTCAGTTTGACCTGAACATATTTTAAAAAGAAATATGCTGTATTTGATCAAATTTGCTTTGTTTTAAAATTATGATTAAGATAACAAACTAAAATGTGCTAAAAATACCAAATATTTTAACGAATAATAATAATTAAACCTGATGCATTTCAAAACATGTTTTTAAGAGATTATTTTTTACATGGGGTATTCTGTGGTTTGCAGAGAACATTATGTAAATAATGTCTGTCTTTCCTATTTGCTAATATATTAGCATAATAATAAATATTACACCATGTTATTTCCACCTTATTTCAGTCTGATGTTCTGGACGGACTGGGGAGAACGTGCCGCTGGTGTGTACCGCAGTTTTATGGACGGTACCAACGTGTCGTGTATTGTGTCCGAGGGCGTGCGCTGGCCCAACGGCATCACTGCAGACGACAATTGGCTCTACTGGACTGAAGCCTACAGCGACCGCATCGAGAGGGCTGACTTCAATGGGGGGCAAAGAAGTGTCCTTATGGAGGGGCTGCCACATCCGTATGCTATAGCAGTCTTCAAAGTAAGCTGAAATGTTAATTCATTCTTGTATATTGTTTATATGATGTAATATGATCATATGTTTGGCACTTTTTAGCACAGAAAAATATTAAAGGGCCCATACACTATTTTCTGATCTATGTTATAATGTTGTTTCCTCATCATAAACATACCTGCAGTTATGTTTGTCTCAGTTATGTCTCACTCAGAAAACTCTGTTCCAGCTTGTGATGTCATGTGGTAATACAAGTGCTCCAGTGTTTTAAACTCCATATACCTTCAGTAGAATCATTTTGGATAATTTCACACATGGAATTACCAGTCTCTATTGAACACAATGTAAAATGTTGGTGTTAATGTAAAAATGACTACTTCATGACATAAGGTGTAACAGAGCATTTTGAGCTTTGACAGACTAATAATTAAGGATTACTCAAACATGTGTGAATGAAAGAAAACACAACTCCAGGTATGTTTTTGATGAGGTAACAACAATGTAACTTGGATTAAAGCCATTTCGATTTATTATAATATAGGAGCTTTAATAGAAGTGGCATTCTAACTAAAAGTGTAGTTACGGTAAAAACATAGCAATTACTTGTGGAAATATTGCATTCAGAATTCAATATACTTTCTAACCTCTATGAAGACATAAGGATACATAGTACATGTTTCATGGAAATAAATTTTATGTCTCACATTTATCTTTCATTTACTCAGTTGCAACTATCATCCTTATTGGTATGCTGTAAAGTGTAACCTGAACTTGTCCTATTTAATGATCGAAAGTCTAACAAATATTGCATAATTCTGTCTGTAGAATGATCTTTACTGGGATGACTGGTCCAGAATGGGGATCTTTAAGGCTCCAAAAGGGGGGTCCCAGGGAAATGAGCTGATCGTCGGGAGGCTCACTGGAGTAATGGACCTCAAGATATTTTATAAAGGAAAACACAGAGGTGAGACAATTAATGTGTTATGAGTTAGTGTATAATTGGAGCATCTAAAATTTGCTGTTCCTAACCTACTTTGCGCTTTGCTGCCATGCAGGGTTGCTAAAAAACACTAATTGATACAAAAATTAGTAGTAAAACACATTTGAACGCAAAAACAAATAAACATATAAATGGGATAAATTTGGATCTCTCCTGAATACTTTTAGAAGGATCTTACAATATTATAACTGGTCACATCATCACTGTTCACATAGTAACATTAAAGAAACTACTTTTTGTGTTCAAAATTGCAGTATATTATATAAAAAATATATTGAGATTATTATATTATGTCTGATGCTACTGAACAGTATGCTTGGGCAAAACACTTAACCCCTTGTGCCATGTTGTGTTGACTAACCAAAAAAAATGCACTTATTGTAATAAACGTTTATGTCATATAAAAGGTGTTACATGTATATCATTATTAAAGTTCCAATATTATTCTATTTATGATCTATCTTATAATTTAGTTTCCTCATCAAAAACATACCTCAGAAATCCTGCATATTTAGGCTTAGTTCTTCTCTCACACACTCTGTACACCTTCACTAGAATCATTTGGATAATTTCAGCCTTGGAATGGCCTTGAATCTTTACTGAACTAAAGGTAAAAGGTATCTGTTATCGAAAAACTACTGCAAGGTGGAACAACATTTTAAGCATATAAGCAGGATAACTCAAACATGTGTCAGTGAAATATAAACAACTCCAGGTATGTTTCTGATGAGGTAACAGCATTCTAATGTGTCTAAAAGCACACATAAGCAAATTCTGTGTAATGCAGCACCTTTTAAACTTTAATGATTTGTTCTTCCCAGGCCATAACGCATGTGCAGATCAGCCCTGTAGTCTGTTGTGCCTGCCTCAGCCTGGCCATCGTCACACGTGTGTTTGCCCTGACGGAGCGCCGACCATCACTTTACCCAGTGGAGAGCTGCAGTGCCAATGTCCCAAGGGCTACCAGCTCCACAACAACACCTGTGTCAAGACTGGTGAGTCCCTGTTGTCTCTCTCTTTAGGACTAAGATACCACAATACCACATTTGGTAGAATGTTGTTCAGACATCTCAAACTTGCCTTACATTTTGCCTGCCCCTTCTCATGCAATTTATTTTTATAATTTAAATTTTTTTTTTTTGATAAAATAAATAAATAAAATAAATCTGTGCCTTCTGCAATATCTAAATGTGTAGTTAATGTGTAGTTGATTAGAGGTGGTGTTTTTCATCACTCCAAAGCCCATGGGTAGATCAACAAATGCATAAACTGTGACATTGCTAACTAAGTGTACTAAAAATGTGAGATATCTATGGTAAATGAAGTGCTGAAGCTTTATAACATCAAAAGAATTAACATTTTATATAATTATAATTAACATTTTTTTTTTTTACATGTACTGCAAGTCTAGACAATCTCTGCTTTCTCAATTTGATTGCTGAAAATACTGTTATTTTTTCAGAGCAAAGTTGTTTACCAAACCAGTACCGCTGCTCCAATGGCCGCTGCATCAACAGCATCTGGAAGTGTGACAGTGACAATGACTGTGGAGACATGAGCGACGAAAAAGAATGTCGTAAGTCAAAGGAATTCTACATCTTGTAAATGTTTATATTATAAATTATTGCATTATTATTTTATACCTTTTTTCTGGCCATTTTAGCTACCACCACCTGTGACCCATCAAACCAGTTTCGCTGTGTAGCCTCAGGCTCCTGTATTCCTTTGGCCTTTAAGTGTGATCATGAAGATGACTGTGGAGACAACAGTGATGAGGAGCGCTGTGGTAAGAGAATTAATAAAGGATTTAACAGATGTTGGATACTCTAAAACTGTAATTGGCTACATCTTATCTACTTACACCAGAGATAAATCTGGTTTATTTTTTATGTAGCCTAAAAGCATTAAGTATAAACAGTTCGACATTTTGTCTAATTAAATGATTGTCATCATGCTGGCAAAGCTTTATTTATTAGAGATTGGCGGCAATCTTTTTTTCATTACTGATGTCAATACTGATTGTTTAGAATCCAGGGAAACTGATGACTAATAAGCTCTGCCTATATATTTGGGCCGATATGTTGGGTTGATTATTTTCACTAAATTATGAAATTTTTATTTACGACAAACTCATCTACGGTTCCTTTTTACCACAGACCTTTAAGAGAGCAGTGTAGTCACATTTTGAGCAGTGTTTAAGTTTGTGTTTAAGTTTGTGTTTAAGTTTTGTGTGTACTCTTTAGCCAAACCAAAATATCGGCCTGTGCTGGAGATTTAAGGCCGGTAGCTGATTCACTAAAAAGTGCAGATATCGGTCCTATATATCAGTCTATCTCAAATATTTATAATCTTGCTTTTTTTGGTCTATGTTTGGTACATTAGAGTCACACCAGTGTGGTCCGGGGGAGTTCACTTGTGCCAGAGGAGTGTGTATCCGAGAGGCCTGGAGATGTGATGGAGACAATGACTGCAGAGACTGGTCTGATGAAGCCAACTGCACTGGTATGCCTTCTGAAAGTGGTGCTGTGAATTTACCCACTGTAATGTCTGTCACATATTGATACTTTGAAGATGATGTCATCATCAGTCCCTGGAGGTGTGATGCTGTAAGCACTGCTCTGTCTTAGGCTTGTTAGACTTTAATGTTCTTTGTTTAACACAGTCTGACCACGAAGATCTGATTTAGCTGGGTCTACAACAGGTGATCTTATTTTTGCTATTAAACAAGTTTCTCACATGTGAAATTACAGTCACAAGCCAACTAGCATTAGCCAACAGTTTTTCAGTTAGTCACTCTTACTTTTTTGTTGAAAATCAAACACCTACACAGGACCATGAACACTCATTGATCACAGGCTCCTGAAAATGTGTTGTTTAAACCCATTTTGTATTTTTCTTGAGTTTTCAGACAATCTAAAAACTCACTACGGTAACTGCTTTTCTCTATCATTAAGCTTGTTAAGTTAATTCAAAATAATGACTAAGCATTTTCAAAGCTTTAAAGTACATTATGAAACTTTTCTGGTGGACAATCTGCTACCCATTTGTCTCTATCTTGCATTTATTCAATTACTGGTGATTTTATTGCTCAAAAACACCCTAAAATCTTGGCCTGTGGTGTTGCCAGCTTGTTTCCAAGGAGATACACAGTTAAGGGGAATTATTCAGTTTCTGCAGCTCCAATAAATATCCAAAATACAATAAAAAGGCAGTATCAATCATCCATATAAAAGCTGTAATAAAAGTGCTATTGGGACAAATAAAATAAAAGTTTAAAATGTACAAAAAGTTACACAGTGCCCTTTAAGATTGGAATACCAGGATCTACATCATAAACAAGATGATTTCATTATTCTGCATAGTTATATATAGGAAATAAATAATCTTTTGTATAAATTCATCTTCAATCATTGAATTTTGTTTTTGTTCCTAGTGGGCCACCATACTTGCGAGGCCAGCAGTTTCCAGTGTCATACAGGACACTGCATCCCACAGAGATGGAAGTGTGATGGGGACGATGACTGTCAGGATGGTTCAGACGAAGACCCTGAGCACTGCGGTAGGACCACACTTCCACTTAAAGGGCCCATATTACACTATTTTCTGATTTATTTGTAATTTTGTTTCCTCATCAGAAACATACCAGGAGTTGTGTTTTGTTTCATTCGCACATGTTTAACACACAAATCCTGCATGCTTAGACATTTCACCTACGAGTTCTTTCCATCTTGTGTTTTTAAAATCCATTCACCTTCACTAGAATTATTTGGACAATTTCAGACATGGAATTGCCAATCTCTTGATTAAAAGGTAAAAGGTAGCTGTTAACTGCTACATGACATCACAAGGTTGAACTGAGCATTTGATCTTTGAGTAACCCTTTATTATTAGTGTCTATATCTCCAAACATGTGAAACAAAACACAACTCTGGGTATGTTTTTGATGAGACAATCTGGTGTTATGTAGGACCTTTAACTGTCTGTACTCCTATTCTAAAGCATTCAGGTTCAAAATGAACAGCTTCTCTACCCCCATAGTCGACAACCAGATACAATCTTGTTTACAGTTCTCTTATCAGATGTGAAGGCAACTGTGTTTATAGCTTCACATGGTTTAGAGTTATGTTTTGTGTCCTCTTATATTGCACTGACCCAGCAGAACTTCCTTCTATTTAAGTGCCCAGAATACTTTCTTGCCAATACCTTCATTGTTTGGGTTGAATACCTGTTTAGATCAGTCAGAACATTAGCAGTTATACTATAAATGTTTTAAATACATAGTATTGGCAAAGCTAAAAATCACAATTGATGTTTTTTTTTGTTTGTTTTAGAGGGAACAAAATGTAAAGGCTTCCTCTGCTCCAATGACACCTGCCTCCCAGCAACCGCCCACTGTAACGGCATCCAGGAGTGTTCAGATGGAGCAGACGAGCAAAACTGTGGTAATTGTTTCTATATATAACAAGCATATATTGTGTCCAATATGTGACTTTTACTTTATATGAAATATTGTTTTGTTTTGGGTTTTTTTTGCTTTTTTTACACATTTGTCCCAGATCCACTATGCACTCGCTACATGGAGTTTGTGTGTCGGAACAGAGCGCAGTGCCTGTTTCAGTCTCTGGTCTGTGATGGGATTAAACACTGTGAGGACGGATCTGATGAGGACTCTGAGTACGCTGGCTGTGGTGAGTTATACTTCTGAGTTAGTTTGGGGATTTTATAACTGGTTTATTCAGTGTAAATTAGCATTCACGCTATAACCAGGCACATGTTTCCTATGACTTTTGTCTTGGTAATATATTGTTGTGCATTGTCCCTGTACAAATAAAAGCATACCATACCATAAAAAAATTATACCCAGATACTAATCAATGCTAGTATTAAATTAGATACTCATTTAAACAAATATTGACACTAAAGACCAAGCAGCAATCTTTGGCCCTCGCGTGGGCCTATGCTGCGCCATGCAAATGCCACACCCCGCAGTAACACTAATGTAAACCCCAACCATGACTCTAACCCAACCCTAATGGTAGACCTAACCCTAAACATAACCCTAAGCTTAAACCTAAGCCTAGTCATAATCCTAATCATAGCCCCAACCCTAACTTTAACCGTAATCCTAACCTACATCAATCAGAGTCGGGGTGTGCACCCACGATTAAAATTTGAGTGAAATCAGGCAAAATTTGTGCAAATTGCTAGGGAGCACTATTTCACCCATTTTTGTATTTTAACCCTAGCCCCAACCCTAATCTTTGCCTATTTGAGCCCTTACCCTAAGCCTAACCCCTAACTTGCCCCTAACCAGCCCAGGCCAACAAATCCTCCATCTGCACCATCTCATTGGGGTTGACCCCCTGACCTTCCATTGACTTCCATTCATTTTAGCAGTGATAAATATGGCCCAGTCCTTGGGCGTGGGTTACTGGGATACTGCTGTTCATGCCAGGGGCGGCCGAGAGGATGAAGATGCACAACATTCTCTTGCATTCACCCATGTGCTCATTGTTGCCCATGCGTTCATTGTAGAGAACGCAATAGACCCTACGCCCTGTCAGGGCTTGGCCCTAATTAGAGGAGCGACTATTTTATACCATTATTGCGTAATCAGAAATGAGTCAGTTCCTTTGTGTCAAAGTTGAGTTTGAAATTTTTGTATGTGCCAACAGCAGTTATATAATTGCCTGTTGTTTTTTCAGTTGATTGACAGTTTCTTTGTTTGTATTTCAGCCACACCAACAGAGTTCGGTAAAGTGTGCGACGCCTACACTTTCCAATGTGGCAACGGGGTCTGTGTGAGCTTGGAGTGGAAGTGTGATGGCATGGATGACTGTGGGGACTACTCTGATGAAGCCAATTGTGGTAAGAAAGAAAAAATATAATAATTTCAGTTGTTTTTGTTTAATTTGCTTATAATATTGTATTCCTGGATGTCTCAAAATTTGCATCAATTAAGAAAGAAACACATTATTCAAGTAGTAATATTCAGTTTAATACTTGATATTTAAGGTTTAACCCCCTTTCTCTCTCACAGCTGCTCCCACTGAAATACCAGGATGTTCCAGGTATTTCCAGTATGAGTGTAAAAATGGCCGCTGTATCCCGACGTGGTGGAAGTGCGATGGGGAGAACGACTGTGGTGACTGGTCTGATGAAGCTCAGTGCACTGGTAAACAGACCACTACTCCAATATCCAATAAATCACTGGTCTCATAGCAAAACTGCCCAAGTTATTTTTTGGCCAGATTGAGTGAAATTTACAGCCATAAAAAAAAGAGAAAAAAGAATGAAAGTTTAAATTTAATACTAGGGATGGGACAAGATCTCATACCACAAGATCTTGCAACAAGAAAAAAGATTGTACACACGTGAAAAAAATGATCTTTTGAGATCAAAAAACGCTCAAATGCTGGCAAGTTACATTTCTTGAGAAGCTGCAGTTCCAAAAACAGTTACAGTGACAGCAAAAAATATACATAACAATAAATCATAAATGAGAAGCCAAAATTGTGGACTGAATTACAAAATGTATTTATTATGAAATATGTTAAATCTCATCTTGTCTCGTTCTCATGGACCTAATCTTGCGCCTTGTCTCACTTTGTGAAATTTTTGTTTCCACCTCTAATTAATACCTTATAAAATTCCTGTGGTGGAAGTGCGATGGGAGAACAACTGTGGTGACTGGTCTGATGAGGCTCAGTGCACTGGTAAACAGACCACTCAGATCCAAGATTTAGATTTAAATTTAGATTAGATTTATTGTCATTGTTCACAATACAATAAAACTTCGATAGAGCAAAACTACAGCAGTAAAAATGAATAAATATAAACACATTTTCACGTCTATATCAATAAAAACTCATACATTAAATAAATAGATAATTGCACTGAGGGCATATATCACTGGCCTCAGCAAAAAACCCAAAGTCAATTTTTGACCAAATTGAGTTTTTGAGAAATTTACAGCCAAAAAAGAGAACGAAAGAACAAAAGTTTAATATTAATACCTTGCACAATCAGAGAATGCTGTATTGCTAATACGGAATTGCGGAAGGCTGAGCGGAAATGGCGCAAGTCAAACCTCCAGGTTCATTATGAGATTTACAGAGGAACAATGCATATGTACAACTACACTTTGAGTAAAACAAGAGAGAAGTATTTTTCGGACATTATTGGTAATTGCAGTAACAACTCTCGTGTCCTGTTTGCAACAGTGAACAGATTAACAAACCCTCCAGCTCCACTGCCACTAGAACTAATTTCCACATCTAAATGTAATGAGTTTGCAGTTTTCTTTAATGACAAAGTTCAGGGCATCAAAAATGCCATCAATTCCACAACACAAATAACAAGCATGCAGCCACAGAGACACTTAGAGCTGAATCACTTTGCACCTGTAACTGACAAAACTGTTTTAGAGATCGTTACCAGTCTGAGTTCATCTACTTGCTGCCTGGACATGTTACCCACTAGATTTCTAAAGTCCGTCCTCAACAGTTTACTTTCACCACTCACTCACATAGTGAACATGTCACTTCAATCTGGAACATTCCCAAACGCGTTGAAAACTGCGGTCATTAAGCCTCTCCTAAAGAAGAGCAGTCTTGATGCCACAGTACTGAACAATTTCCGACCCATCTCAAATCTGCCGTTTTTTGGCAAAGTCCTTGAAAAAGCTGTTTACCAACAGCTTACGAACTTTCTCCAATTGAACAACTCCTTTGATGTTTTCCAGTCAGGTTTTAGAGCCCACCACAGCACTGAGACTGCTCTTATCAAGGTGACAAATGACATCCACCTGAACACTGATGCAGGCAAAGTCTCAGTCTTGATCCTGTTAGATCTGAGTGTGCTGCTTTTGACACTGTCGATCATGGGATCCTCTTACAGAGACTAGAGGACTGGGTGGGCATCTCTGGTTCTGTACTAAACTGGTTCAAGTCCTATCTAGAAGACAGGAAGTATTTTGTTGAAATTGGAAACTGTGTCTCAGATCACATGGCCCTGACCTGTGGGGTGCCTCAGGGGTCAATCCTGGGCCCCCTGTTGTTCAATCTCTACATGCTGCCATTAGGCCAGTTAATAAGCAGCAATAATGTGTCCTACCACAATTATGCAGACGACACTCAGATCTACGTCTCTCTGGCAGCAGGAGACTATGGACCAGTGGACTCACTTGGTCACTGCATCCAACAGATCAGTGTGGATGCAAAACAACTTTCTCCAGCTAAACTCTGACAAGACTGAAGTCATAGTCTTTGGTCCACAGAAACAAAGGGACAGTGTCAGCAGTCACCTCCAGTCTCTCTCTCTAAAACCTTCAAATCAGGCAAGAAATCTAGGGGTAATAATGGACTCAGACTTGAACTTTAACAGCCACATTAAATCAATAACATCTGCACCCTTTTACCATCTAAAAAACATAGCAAAAATCAAAGGTTTACTGTCTAAAGTAGACTTGGAGAAACTTATCCATGCGTTTGTCTCCAGTAGATTAGACTACTGTAATGGTCTGCTCACTGGTCTCTCCAAACGAGCTGTGAGACAACTGCAGAACATCCAGAACGCTGCAGCTCGGGTTCTTACTCGAACTAGGAAGTACGAGCACATAAGTCTTGTGCTCAGGTCTCTGCACTGGCTTCCTGTGCCTCAGAGAATAGACTTTAAAGCAGCTCTGCTTGTGTACAAGTCTCTCCATGGCCGAGCACCAAAGTCCATCTGTGACATGTTAGTGTCATATGAACCATCTCGCACTCTGAGGAGCTCAGGGACCGGCCTCCTGCTGGTGCCCAGAGTCACGACTAAACAAGGGGAGTCAGCGTTTCAGGTTCATGCAGCTAAAACCTGGAACAGTCTTCCTGAACATGTGAGACAGGCCTCTTCTGTGACGCTGTTTAAATCCAGGCTCAAAACATTTCTGTTTAACTGTGCATATAACTGAAAGGTTTTCATTCCGCACTCTTCTCTCCAATTTATGTCTCTCTTTTTTAATTTTAATTAGTTTTGATTAGTTTTTATTATGATTTTAATGTATTTCTTATTCTGTAAAGCACTTTGAATCACTTTGTGTACGAATTGTGCTATACAAATAAACTTGCCTTGCCTTGCCTTGCCTAATGTGAGTGAACAACATTCACAAATTTGCTTTGGAAAAAAGTAAAGACATCCATTAAATTAAGGTAAATAAAAATAAACTTTGATGTACAAATACAAAATGTACAGTATGGGCAGAACAAAAGTGCAAAACTGTCAGTTCAGTTAGATTAGACTTGGCCATCTTATTTTTCTATTTTCCCAAAAACTTAGAAAAATCACTTGGGCAGTTGTGCTAAGAGGATAACAAAACTCACTAACACTACCTAACTCCCCCCTCCTGCTGTGTTCATAGGGGGTGTAACTCCGCATACTGTTTCCCCTGGACCCACCACCTGTGCCCCCAACCGCTTCCACTGTGGCTCTGGAGCTTGCATCATCAACACTTGGGTTTGTGATGGCTACGCTGACTGTCCTGATGGTAGTGATGAGCTTGGCTGCCCCACAGGTAGAACAAAGATGTTAACAGTTCAGTGGTGATTTCTGATTCTGAAAACCTACAATCTGTCTTTAAAAAAAGCCAAAAATTTTTTCCTTCCTAAATATAGAGTAGTATATGCTCAGTGGTAGATTGTTTGGGCCACTAGGAAAAAATTCAAACTGTCAGAATCAGAAAAAATAAGCTGTGTTGTCAGAAATTTGCTTTGGTGATATGTTGTCTATGTTATTTTATTTCCTCATCACAGACATACTGGGAGTTGTGTTGTTTCATTCACACGTGTTTAACACACAAATTGTGCATATTTTTGTAGTTCTTCTCTGAAACACAAAACACCCTGTTCCACTTTGTGATCTCATATGGTAATACAGGAAGTGCTCCACTGTGTTTTTAAACTTCATATACAGTCACTAGAATCATTTGGATAATTTCAGCACTGGAATTTTCTGTCTCTACTGAACTAAAAGTAAAAGCTAGCTGTTAATTTGAAAACTAGATGACATCATAAGGTGGAACAGAGCATTTTGAGCTTTGGAGATGTAGACATCCTAAAAATAAATGGTTACTTAACGTGTGAATGTAACAAAGCACAACTCTAGGTTTGTTTTATAACTTATATGTTATATTTATATAACACGGTTTAAAGCTTAGAATAGTCAGTTTTGTGTCACATGGGACCTTTAACATAAATAAAAATGAATAATGAGAGAAATACATTATAAACTGCACAATCAAATCACAATTTATTTATTATGTGAATCCTTTGACAGTGAACAGCTCTGTGACTGTGGCTCCAGTGCCCACCCTGACCCCTCTCCATCCTCCGTTTCCGGGACGATGTATGCGGGGGCAGTTCCTCTGTCACCGACCTCCAAACTGCATCCCAGACTGGCAGCGCTGTGATGGACAGGACAACTGTCAGGATGGCTCTGATGAAGCACACTGCCGTAAGTTTAAACATTTTACCAGTCATCTATAATAATTATATTAATAAGCTATATAAGTATCTATAATAAATATAATCATACGTTTAAAACGTGTACCAGTCATGTATAATAATAATTTTAACATGCACGTGTCGAGGGTTATTGAACATATAATTGCACTGACCTTAAAAATCCCAATAGATTTATTTGGGCATTTTGTATATGTTAGAGTTTTAGACTTAGATTTCTGAAAAAAAATAAGTTGTAATGAATTAAAATATCATTTTAAGATAGCAAAATTTGCAAAAATAGTAAAAGATTTATCAAATAAGGAATAAAATAAAATAAAATAAAAGTTAGTATGTCAAGGCTATACAGTGTAGAAGAGGTGGGATAAGGGGACGGCTCTGACATGGCAAGTTGTGAAATTGTATGGCGTATAGTATGAATGTTGTCTTGTATCCATTGTATAAATTGTGAATATTTTCTGCAGCTACACGAGGGCCACTGTTCTGTGTGAATGGGACTCGTTGTGCCAACGGAGAGGCCTGTGTTTTGGATGGTGAGTGGTGCGATGGTTTCCTAGACTGCTCTGATCACAGTGACGAGGACAACTGCACCCGTAAGAGCTCCATATTGTACTTTAAGCATTTTATAATAAGATCTCTGCTGCCATCTACGGGTTGTGAAAATTATAACTTTTTTTTTTTACTCTTTCACGTTTTGATTTCAGTTGAGAATCAAGCATTCAAAGTTCAGAACCTTCAGTGGACTCCTGACTTCCTTGGTGCAATCACTTTGACCTGGTCCCGGCCAAAAAACTTACCACTAGATTCTTGCAACTTCCTCATCTCATACAGGTGTGGTACCTCTAAAAATGAATATGTACTGTAGAACAATAGAACAGACTAATTAACAATTTTCGGGGTTCATTTGATTCGTTGCATAATAAACATAAAAATACATTTAAAGGTGCACTATCCTATTTTTTCTGGTAGATGTTATTAAACTTGCATTAAACATGTCATCTTGGACTCTTACTGTGAGTGGGCCCACCTGTCCACAAATCTGGCTTCCAGTAATTATCCATGGATAATTACTTTTAATACCACACTGATGAACATTCCAGGTATAGCAGTAACAGCTCCATGGATACAAGCAGGTGACAAGCCCTCTGCATAGTGCACCTAAATTAAGGTTAACGGTTGTGGCCAAAAAGTTACATTGATACTTTGCAGTGACATCATCTTGGGTGTAGCAAACACTGCCTAAAAAGCTTTAAGATTGTCTGAAAACTCACAAAAAGAACACTCTGTTGGCTAATGCTAGCAAGTTTGTGACTGTAATGTTTTTTGTGAGAGACTTGTTTAAGAGCACAAATCAGCTCACCTCAAAACTCAGATTAAAGTCTTGAGCAACAGTTTCAGACAGAGCAGTGCCAACAGTTAGCATCATACCCCTAGAGAATGATGATGAGACCAGCTGCAAAGTGTCAAATGTATAAAAATGTTATAACACAACAAAATGGTTAGTCAGCTCATTATATGTTTTATTAAGTTGTTGCATGTCAATTCTGAATTTCTCTTACTTTCCTGTACCATGGCTCTTGTTCTCAGGCTGGTTGATGCCCAGCAGTGGACAATAATGGACACTCAGAGCAACAAAACCAGCTACAAACTGACAGTGCTGCAGCCAGACTCCACGTATCAAGTGAAGGTCCTTACTCAGTGCCTCAGCAAACAGCACAAGACCAATGAGGTCATCACTGTCAGGACGCCAGAGGGCTGTGAGTGTTTGACTGGACACTAGCACTGTTACTAAAGGATACCAAATGTGCACCTTAAAAGACCCATATTAAGCTATTCTGATCTATTTTATAATGGTGTTTCTTCATTACAAATAAACCTGGAGTTGTGTTTTGTTTCATTCACAGATGTTTAACACGCAAACCCTACATATTTAGGCTGAGTTCTTCTCTCAAACAGAAAACACTCTGTTCCACCTTTTATTTAGGAAGTGCTCCACTGTTTAAACCCCATACACCTTCACTAGGGTCATTTGGATATTAATTTCAGCCCTGTAATTGACAATCTCTGCTGAATAAAAGGTAAAAGGTAGTTGTTTACCTACCACTTCCTGACATCACAAGGTGAAACAGAGCATTTTGAGCTTTGGAAATGTAATAATATAAGGATTCTGAAGCAAGTGTGAATGCAACAAAACACAGCTCCAGGTATGTTTTAAGAAGGTAACAACATTATAGCATGGCTTAAAGCTCACATGAGTCATGTATAGGACCTTTAAAGGTGTACTATGTAACTATTCTGGTGATGGCAAATGATGAGTAAAACCCCTAAAAGCAAGGTAGATAGGTTTAATGCTATTGTGTGGAAGATGACAGTTTAAATATATAGGAATTTGACAAATGATTTTATAGAAATAGATTACAATTGTAAAAATAAAAATAGTAAGGTTTGCCAGACTTTTTTGTCTTTTGTCTTTTTAACTCCTTTATTTTGTCTATCATCTGCAGTGCCAGACCCACCCAGGAACCTGCAGCTGTCCTGTGGGAACAGAGAGGACGGGACAGTGGAAGTGTCCTGGAGTCCCCCGGACAAATCCCACGGCCTCATCAGAGAGTACCTTGTGAGTTCACTTGTCTAAGCTGTGATTTATGCAGAAATTATGACTGATATAATGCCATAGTTTAGTATTTGCAGTGTTTTATGGGTATTGTCTGTGTTGTAGGTTGAATACAGTGAGAGAAATGGTCAGGACTGGACTTCACAGAGGTGTATGACCACCAGCACAGAAGTGAAGGGTCTGCGGTCTGACACTATGTATAAGTTCAGGGTAAAGATATAGATATACTTTTAAAATACACATTATTTGTAAAGCTTAGATTGTAATGGCATGTTTTTTATTTAGGTGGCTGCAGTGACCAGTCGAGGATTAGGAAACTGGACTGAAGTGAAATCTATCACTCCCCAAAAAGGTACAACTTTTGTTTTAATGCAGCGTGCACACATAAAACCCCAATGCTCAATTATGTGATTTGTATTACTTTCTTATGCTGCCCTCCTCTGGTCACTTATGGTTATAAAACGACTGATAAATTTAATTTCTGAATATCTTGTTTTATGTATGCCATAGTCGAAATATTTAAAGAACTTGTGTTTATTTATGTAATTTGTAAATTATTTTTGTAATGTATGTTAAAGTTAATTGCCATTTCCTTAAATTTGTTCTACAGCTCTTCCTCCACCTTCAGTGATCGCTGACACCATTACAGATAATTCCATAAGCTTTTCCTTCAGCTTTAGCTCTCAGTATGAGGTTAGACATATTTCCTTTTAATTAATGTTTCATGTAAATTATTAATCGTATTTTTTCAGTCCAAATGAGTTAAGATGTACTTTTTGGTGTTTCTTGAGAAGGCAAAGCACTACATGGTGGTTTTGTCCTGGCAATTTGACAGCCATATGAAGGAGAGTAAAAACTACACAGTACGAGAGAGGATATTCAAAGGTATTTGAGATAGATTATTACTGCATACAAAGTGTCTGATATGTGATATAAGTAGTTTAATATTCCACATATTCTTTTGCAGTTATGAACCTGACTGCAGGGACTGTGTATGAGGTGGCAGTTTGGGCCCACACCAGTATCGGGGACAGTCCCTCGGCTCTGTCTCATCACCAGACCACTGGCACTCAACCTGAGAGGCCACTGCTCAAAACACGTGCTCTCAACCAAACTGCAGTGGACTGTAGCTGGACCATCAGCACTCAGCCTGCTCAGGTCAGTTTAGACAATTTCAATCTTATACAGTACTTTTTAAATTCTGCCTGTGTATAATCTTGTACTTATGTAATGTATTATGTAACTGTGTAATTTTTGTCACAATATGTAACTTACAGTTCATGCCTTACTGTTCAAATGTACCAAACTCTTATCCTTGTTCATAATATTCCATTCACCTCTGCAACTAAAATACAAAATCCAACCAATTTTTTTTCATGCAAGTCTTGTGAATTATTTTCCAGCAAGTATCAGTCCAAAAAAACTGCTAGTCAAGACATTAACAAATAATTAAATAAGTTTTGTATAATATACATAAACAAATAATATATCTTAAATTCACAGTCTTAATATCTTTTGCGTATTGAGATCTCCCCTGTTTGTTTTCACTGATTATAATTGTGTTTACTGATGATAAATTGCTTGCCTTGTGTTTGGTGCTTACAGGTAGTGTATGGTGTGTTTTATGCCACTTCCTTTCTGGACCTTTACCGCAGTCCTCGTCTGGTCCACACTTCATCTCTGAGCCTCACGGTGACTGTCGACAGTGATGAGCAGTACCTCTTCCTGGTATGACTAAAATAAAATTCTTGAAGCTGCACTAACTTTTCTGGCAAGGATGTCCATCCTATACCGTACTTGTCTCCTTGGGGATCTGAGGATCTGATTGCTTTGTCTGGAATATTCCACAGTATGGCATGAATTACATCAATTGCAGTTGTTTTATTGCTCAGAAATACCAGACTTGTTTTTAAATTTATTTTATTTAGGAGGTGCCAGAATATCTCAGGTCCCAAATTCAGAATATCTCCTGATAGCAGCTAACACAATCAATAAAACACTAAAATCACAAAGCATCACATTATAAAACCATTTTCATTTCTCCAGAAAAACATACACATGTCTCGGTCACCACACTTGTTAAATTTAAGAAGAATTTAAGATAAATTGTAAAAAGTGCCACAACAGATTTGTAGCATGGCCTAGTATGTAAGTATGTATTAGTGATAATATGCTAGTCTAATACCATACTGCAGATCTTTCCAGCCAAAGTAATAGCATCTTCCTAAAAGGAGCAGGTTACGGATGCTTCACCACAAAACACAGTGCACTTTAAGTAAAGTTTGTAGCTTGGGACAATGGTGCACAGCCTCAAGTCATGAGGCATGTGTGTGCAGATGTCTTCACTCCCACTGCTCTCAAATGAATCCATCCACTCCTCCTCGGTGATGTCAGACTAAAGAAAGTTGCATTTGCAGAGACAAATCTTCCCCAGTTAAGAAAGTGGGAACATCTGGGGGGAGTAAATCTCTGCTGCTAGACATGTAATTATGCAGTGTGAGTGCAGAGAGACACAGGTGCAAATAAGGGCTGTGATCCACCCCAAAGCTGCCCCACCATGCACCACCAGCTGGGTAAAATCAAGATAAGAGTGCAGAGGGTGGGGTAGAATGAATAAAGAAGATGAAATTATAAATCCTAAACGTGTATCAAAATCTGGCATTAAATTGAAATTTGAGAAATTACCATGTGCAAAAATTAGCATGTGTGGAAAATTTTGGTTTCAGCTTTGCCAGCACAAGGGTGACTTGATTTGCCAACTACTACATATTATTTAACTACATATTATAATGACATATCATTTAACTTGGTAGTAAGAAATCTGAAAATCTATGGCTTTATACTCACCTGTGTTGCATTTATTCAATTGTGAAAATGAAACACAGGAAAATAAAAAAATGTATACACTGAATGCCATACTGTGGGACATTCTAGACAAAGCAATAACATCTTCATGAAGACAAGTAGGCGGACCAGTACACAGTGCACCTTTAAGCTAAATATTAGCTCAGTATTTTGCATTGACCTGGAACTAATTAACTGCATATGACCAATGGTGTTTATTAGCATAGCAATAATATGACATACAAATAGAAAAATATCTATAATGATGAAACTACATTACAGATTAGCTGGCCCTCTGGTTCCCCTAGTGGGGATTCTAATAAATAAACTATAAACAAACTGCTTTTACTCTTAATGGTGTATACTGATAAAATTACAGATATATTTTAATCAATTTTCCACAGGTGCGTGTGGTGTCTCCATACTTGGGCCCTCCATCGGACTTTGGTGTGGTCAAAATGATCCCCAACGAGCGCCTTCCACCCAGAAACCTTCACCGAGTCCGAGTGGACAAGACTCAGGCTACACTGAAATGGCAGCCTCCTTATGATGCCCCCAATGCAGCTCTGGTATGTAACATTACAGTACAATAGAAACCAATTACTTGGAAATCAATGTTAGTTTTTATCTGTCAATATGTTATTGCTTTATTTACCGTACTTTATTTTACCAGGAAAAATCTTATCTTCCCCCTGTAAGAAATTATTGTTGTATCAGATCTTTCAATTGTATCACAATGACACCAAGCAGTGGAATTAAAAAGCAGTGAAGTTATACAGTTTAAGCATTGAAGACTGTTAAATATAGTGTAAAACAGATCACATACAATTAAAATAGCATTTAAACATATTAGAACACAAAAGAGATCATAGACTGTATTTACGGTAAATGGACATAGCTAACTTGCTAACCTGCGGTGTTCCAAATAGGAAGTGAGCATGAGCACTCCATCGACTCTGCTCCATTTTACTTTGTAATGAAAAGACATCACCCCTCCCCTCTGTAACTGTCAGTGTCAGGTTCCTTATTTATGTCTTAAAATGTTCATATTAACCTGCTATTTGCCCCATAACTGCCGGCCTCAACAAGCTTCATTTGACTGAAGCCGAATGCTATGAAATGCTGTCTTAGGCCAGCTCTTTATACAGTCTATGAAAAAGACAAGGTCAAAAGTAGCCAACAAAGATTCATTTATGGCTAATTGAATAGACTGAATGAAATGTTACTGTGATTTGCTTTTGTATTATCTTGTAGTGTTAAACTGTTCATTGTGGATCTTCAGTGAGAAAAGTTTAAGTGCTCTACAACATGTTTCAAGTATATTTCCTGACAGTTTATATTTCTAATTAATTAAAATGCTTCTTCAATACATGCGTGATTTATTGAACATTTTGTGTGCCTGTGCAGACATATGCGATCCATGTGCGGGACGTGATCCGAAAGGAGGAGCGCGACTACAAACTCACATCCAAAAACAACACAGTGGAGTATGTGCTGAAGGGTCTGGAGCCTGGAGGTCGCTACAGTGTTTCAGTCCGACTCCGAAATATGAGCAAAGAGGCCAGCTTCACTCTCAGCACAGGTACAAGGCACTCATTTACACCCATCGTCAAATACCAAGGGCAAGTTCAATACGTGTTTATAAAATGTGCTGTTTTCTCCTCCAGTGCCTCTCCCAGCTCCAGAGGCCTTGAAGATTCTGACAGAGAAAGACCATGTGTTCCTCTTCTGGAAAAGTCTGGCAGTCAGGGAAAAAGGCTTTAATGAGAGCAGGGTAAGGGAATAGATCATGATAAAAGCTGTTTAATAGTGCAATTTATGAATTGCCAGTGTTGAAAAATATGTACACAGGTTTGCTTAAATTAAAACCATATCATAGTGTTTTGACGTTGACATACACACTAAATAGTTAAATTTGTATCTTAAATTAAGGTTGTAAGAAAATATGTTAAAAAATGTAATTTAAACATCTTCAAGTAAGCCATCTATTCTGGCACAAAATATATTAAAGATGCTTAAGTTTTGAATGTGTTTTTGGACTGAAAACAACCATGTTATGCACCTCCGGTACTACATAGCTGGATAGCCTCCATCATGTGTGTAAACTCTTAATATTTGAAGAGTGAATAAAGTGTATGTGAAAAATGAATGGGAATTTACTTCCAGAACCTCAGTTGACTTTGCTGTGAACAGGACATCTAGGCTAAATGATTAATAACTGTTTTTATGTTCTTCTCCTCTGTACAGGGATATGAGGTACATGTTTACGACAGTGTGACCAATAAAACCTCTTTCCTGGGAAACACCACAGAGACGTACTTCAGGATCAGCAGCCTCCTCCTGGGGCACAACTACACATTCTCCGTCCAGGCGCGGTGCCTCGTGAGCGGGCAGCTGTGTGGAGAGCCCGCCCGGCTCCTCTACAATGAGCTTGCTACAGGTAAACAACATGGCTGCCTGTGTGAGTGCCAACAAGCCTGAAGCCACGCTCAGAGGGCACTCATGGTACACTCATGGTACACTCGTGGTACACTAGAGGATTAAGTCTGAGGAATACAGACTTGGCAAATTAGAAACAGAGCTAAATTACTCTGGTTCTTGTTTAGAAAATTGGGTTGTCGAACGCATACATTTCTACAGTAAAACTAGTAGTTTTTTGACAGGCAAAAAATTACCGTATTTTCCGGGTGATTAGGCGCTCCGGGTTATCAGACGCATGTTTTCCCGAACTTTTTTCACATATAAACCGCACCGAAGTATAAGGCGCGTTAAACGAAACACAACAGTTAGGTAAATCAGTCAAACTTTATTTAACGCGTTTACTCGTTACGTTAACTCTCAACTTTGTTCATTTGTAACACGTAAAAAACAAAAAACTGTCTGAGACAGATAAATTGTCAGCGTATTCACAATAACTCATAATTGTTCGGTTATAACTAAAAATAACACATTAGTTTTCACAACGCTAGTTCGATTATTTGGTCCGCACCAGGCAATAAAATTGTGATTATGTAGCAAATACACTCCAGTGTGGTCCGCTTTCACACCGGCAAATTGACGTGTCTCTGTTTCCCGAGAAAACAGCGATCCCTCCAGTTATCAACACCGATGTTCCTGTTAATACCACGGGCCGTCCTCATCTCAACTTATTATCGTGAACTCATAAAACAGCAACATGTAGAACTTTGTACAAACTCACCTCATCAGCCCAGAGTTCGGGTAACATCAGCAGCCAACAGCGCTCACAGTAGCGCGCAGCTCCTCAGGACGGGGCTTAGGTCTGATCCTTGGTCCTCCTACAAGCGCGTTGGTCAGATGGTCCGGAGGCTCCATCCTCCTTGTGCTGGTTCCAAACGGTGGCGAGAAAGACCAGTGCTTGATGGACTGAGTCCGAGCGGGTACGTTCCGTCGTCTGCGCGCTGTTTCCGTGCGGGAAAAGCAAGAATGTGCTGTGGACTACAGGTCCGGGTGGGCTGCTCTGGTCCTCCGCGCTCAAGAACCGCGGCTGGTTCTGAGGTGGTGCAGCATCCGGACAGAAGCATGAGTCCAGTTTGGTTTGTTATATGTTGTTCTGAGCGTCCGTCCTCCGCGCATTTGGTTCTTCCCGGGGAAAGCGCTTCCTCAGGTCCCCGCTGGTTCGGGACTGTGGTTTGGATCTAGTCTGACTGTATTTCTCACACTAGGCTAAAAGCAGGGACTTTTTGAAGTTGTATCAATTGAATAGGCTATTGCCATAAAATTATTTGGTTAATTAAAACCCAAAATAACAAATGCTGGTTGGTACATGATCACGGGGAACACCGGGACCTCTCTGTGCGTGCAGGTTCTGAACAGACGTACACACCCCCAATTTTGACTCACTCTGGAGCCACATGTTCGCACGCTGGTACTTGCTCTGATCTTCGTGTATTACATTCTCTGTATCGGCCATTTTTGGTAAAATAATTAGAAAATGAATCACGGCTGCGTCTGGACAACAATCTGTTACTGCACTGGAGTCGCAGATCAATAGGGATGGAGATGTGTGGAAAAAGCCATCCGGTCTCTTAAGGTAAACTTCTCACAGCCAGTTGCTCATCTTTTCCTCGTCCACAGGAAAAATGAGGAATCACAGTACGTATTACTCCGCAATGCTCCTGACTACGGTAGCCGTAATGCTGCAACTGGTGCGGCGTTGTCGTTTACTGAAGTTGTACTGGAACACTCGCGTAAATTCATATAAAAGGCGCTCCGGATTATAAGGCGCGCAGTCGTTTTTGGAGGCTTAAGACCGTGCCTAATCGCCCAGAAAATACGGTACCGGTCCATTGTGTAACTTTCCTGGTGGAGTGTCTGTCAAATGCTTTCTACCTTCATGGAGGCCAAACCAGACCAAGTTACAGGCCAGATCTGTGGAGAGGCAACCCTGCTCAATCAGAATGCCTGTTTTTCTATGTATTTTTGAGCAATCAAAACACCTGTAATTTAATAAATTAAAGGTAGAGGTGTTTAATGTCACATTGTGGAACACAGATATACAAGAATTCCATGTGTACATCTGTAAAAGAAAAACAAACAAACAACAAAATCAGTAATGGTTGGATTATCATTGCTATTTTCACAGCTGTTGTGTTCTTGTGTTTTTAGGAGCCAATGATGCATCTCATGGGGGTGGAGCTGCTTCAAGTGGTGACATGGCAGCTGTAGTTGTCCCTGTGTTGTTTCTTCTTCTTTTGGTTGTCTGTGGAGGACTCGTAGCTCTGTACTTCAGACATCGCCGTCTACAAAACAGCTTCACCGCCTTCGCAAACTCACATTACAACTCACGCTTAGGCTCTGCTATCTTTTCCTCTGGGGATGAACTGGGTGAGTGCCTTCTATATTTATTTTAATTTCAATATAAAAAAAAAAAAATCAAGATTACAGTTTAATTGTTGATCAAAATTTAAACTTGATTAAATCAGGATTAAAAGTAACTAAGCTCAGAATTCAATTTATGAAGCTCATTTAGGAAATAATTTTTTCTCTGTGTCATCATAAGAATCTCTAGAGGACCACAACTATAACTTTTGCAATAATAATTTATTCTTAGCTTTTGATATTGCAAATCATTGTTTAGTCCTTATGTAAAATTGCCATATTCATGTGTTTTCATCTCTGTATACTTTATATTTTCAGACATTTCCATTCTTTCAGGTGATGATGATGAAGACGCTCCAATGATCAGCGGTTTCTCAGATGATGTTCCCATGGTGATCGCGTAGCAGGAAGTGGCCTGTTTGACCCCTCCTCTTTACTCCTGTAACTGTCCTGGTGCAGCTGGAGAAGAGAGGACAGAGGAGAGGCTGCAACACCTCCCAATGGGAAACCGTCCAGTTTGGAGTGAGAGATGTGGAAGAGAGTTAAGAGAATATGATATTTTTCAACATTGCACTTTTTTGATCCGCAATAACTTATTTTTTATATGAAATAAATATATATGGGGGAAAAGGACTAAGAAGAGCTTTTGACAACTGTGAAGGACTTGAGTTTGTTGAGCGTTCCTGGAAGGAGACACAATTATTGATGCAAACTCATTTTCCATGGGAGCGGTACACGCTTAAAGCCAAAATAAGCAGAGACTGAATAGAATGAAACAGGTACACACAGAATATAAAGATGCTGTATACGTTATTTAAAAAAAAATACAATATTGAAAGAGTTGATGCGTAGTACTGTATGTGCTATAGCAGGATATGTTACTTTGGTGGTCCCATCTGAATGAATAATGAAACATATCGTCATTTACAAGATGTTATCCGCAGTTCATTTCAAATGTTTGACTAATTATGGCTTGAGTTTAGTTATGTCTTCATATATGCTTCCTTTTTACCACAAACCCATCTAAAATGTATGTACAAAGAAGATTATTCTGGCTTTGAGGGGGGAACACTGTAAATATTGGCTTTTGAAATTTCCTCTCAGTGTAATGCTGCACCATGTCATTTGTAAAATGTGTAATGTGTTTTATTCATTCAGGACCATTTTAATTCCTCCAGCATTTGCCATAACTGTAGTCACAGAGGAAGAAGTTGGGGTTCTCAGGGAAGTGTGTTGGAGCGAACACCAGCGCAGCACCACATGGCTTAGGCAGCCAATAACAACAAATAACAGTTTTAAGTAATCAGTTACTCATTCAAAACATCACAAAATGAGATGTATGGGGTCAGCTGAATGTGGAATGGCATCTGAAGTTCTTATCAGTTTGCGTTATTTAAAGGTACATTGTGTAACTTTCTGGTGGAGTGTCTGCCACCTGCTTGTGTACACGGAAATGTTATTGCTTTGTCTAGAATGTTTCACAGTATAAATTAAACCTACAATCCCAAGGGAGACAAACAGGTTACAGCAGGTTACATTTCAAATCAGATCTGTCACCCTTATTTAGAAAAGGAATTATTGTATTTTCAAGCAGTAGAAACACTTGTAATGAGTAAATGCTAGGTGGAAGTGATTAATGTCATACCATGGAACATTTTAGGCAAAGCAACATCTCCACTTGGAAAATGCTGAGTGGACCCAACACCAGAAAAGTTACACAGTGTGCCTTTAAAAACTATGATAAGAATAATTTAATTTATTTACAGTTGAGTTGAATTGAAGCGTGTCTATCACTGTTTACATCTACATGCCTAGTTGGACCCACAGTTGAACATTTGATCGGGCATTTCTATTGGAACCGACCGTCATCCAAGTTTACATGCATGCATTTTACAATACGCCAAAATATGTGTTTATATTTCCACCTCTGCTGACTCTTATTTAAAAAATATGGCTGCCTTTTTTCTTGAAATAGGTGGTGTTCTGCTTTCTATTGATCATGTTTTGTTTAAGATGTTTTCATGAATGTATTTTATATGTGAACTTTTAAGGTACCACTTGTGAAGTTTGTGCATGCTCTTTGCTTTGTCATTGCTAAAGTGAATTTGTAAAGCACCTGTTCTCCTATGAACAGGTGATCTGTAACTCTGTAGACTGGCTTCTGCAGACTAAATATTCTATAAGGTACACTCAATGCCCAACCCAACCTATTGCACCATTTGATGTAATTGTTTTGTCCTGACATTCAGGGTTTTGTTACTTGTTGAAAATGGTTCAAATTAATTTTATTATTGGCATGGCTAGAGATGGTAATTTCCTGGACCACTGCTGAGGTTATCCCTTAAAATGAATGCCAAATGGTACAACTTATAATAATAGAAAAGAAAAGTGTCTTTAAAAACTTAAGTCCTTAGTCTGTTTGCCAAAAGTAGTAAAACATTTTTTTAATTAACTTTCAAAGCAAGTCCTGTAATTATGTTACTGGTCTAATTTGTACTTGCCAACTACTGGAGTACTGTGCAACCCCACAAATCCAATCAAGCCTCCATTATAATTATTTATTCATTGGTAGCTCATACACTGGCTTTTGGTTTATTTCAAAATGTATTTACTGACAAATCTGTTGCTCACTTTCCAATAGCAGATTTAGAATGTGCACCATTTTAAATTGATAATTTGGTCATTAGTGCCTACAAATATGAAACCAATTTTTATGAACTGATATTTAACGTTTTCATACATTGCGTTGTTTTTCTAAAGATTGACTGTGCAACTTTCCTGGCATAGGGTCCACCACCTGCTTCACTCCATGTTGTTTCTTCTTGGAATGACTTACAGTCCAACGTTTAATTTATCTCCATGGTGAACAAGCAGGCCACATCACTAGGCCAAGTTACAGGTCAGATCTGTGGAGAAATGGACCCGCTCACAGAAATAATGCATGTTTGGTGGTTTTAATTTTGAGAAATAAAAACACCTGTAATTGAATAAATACAAAATATGTTTGTTTAATGTCATGCTTTGGAACATCCCAGGCAAAGCTGTAATATCACCATGGAGACAAGCAGATGGCAGACTCTCCACCAGAAATGTTACACAGTGCACCTTTAAAATATTTTCCAGATCCTTGATCACAACATACTGTTTTTTGTTTGTTTGTTTTTTAAGCCTTACAACCTATTTTCTGGGAGGGATGCTGTTTTGAATTGTTTGCTGTCTTTTCAGATATGTTTTTGTTTTCTCACATAATGCCTTACTAGAGAACACAGATTAGGATGCTACTGTATGTAAAGTGTAGTTCACAAGGGCACACGCATGCATTAACACGCTTACACAGAAGAGGAGGAAGTCGTGGAGGAAACTACTGTCAGGTCACTGCTCTGTGTGTGAGCCAGGCACTGGTCTAATTTTAGTCAGGTTTTTACACATGTTATGTATAAAGCATAAATCTTTGTTCAAATGTGACCTTTTGACTCCCATCTGTCTTAATGTGTACTCTTGTCAAATGGTTTTCTTCAAAATGTCGTTTGGCACAGTGCTGGGTCATGTTGGACTTGGCCATGTCTGAAGATATTCATGTCTTGCTTGAAATAAGTCACGAGAAAAAAAACTCAGAGGTACAGTGAGAGCTGTTTTAAGGAACCACTTATACTGAAATAAACTTGCTGAATAAAAAAAAAAAAATCAGTGCATGACTCTTACTTTTTTTTTTTTACTAGACTTTGGATTCATTTATGACTTAAAAAATAAGGAATAGAATAAAAATGAGCCTTTTATTATTGTAGATGTGATGACATAACTGCTATAAACCGTAAGGATGGAAAAGTACTTTAATAGAACAACTTTATGACTAAACAACAATGGAGCTGAGCTGTGATAATTTAGCTGTGCTTTCATTCCTGTCCACCAGGAGGCAGTGTATGCCGCAGCTCGCTTCGATCAAACTGCAGCGCCACCATTTGTGTTGCCAGATTTGGCTGCATTTACTTTTTCTACCTCTAAACTGCTAGCCAGTCCAAAGTTAAATCTGTCATGTTCTAAACTTGAAGGTATTATGGCTACTGATTTAAATGACAAGGCTACAAATGTAGATGTTGTGATAACCTACCCACATCACAGGTTGCAGGTTGCAGCTAAACATCATGTTTCTTTCAGTTGGAATGTAAGTTTACTGTACTCCCACAAATTACATAGATCTGTACACTATGCTAATGTTATTCAAAAGTACTATTAGTATGTTTGTTATAGGTCAGACGTCTTATAGTTTTGAGCAACTATTTTTAATTAATAATGCTAGCAAGTAGCCTATTGCAAATTCTGTGCACAATGCTTTACAGTAAAATTCCTTTTTCCATGCATAATCCAATGTAGTTAAAAGTGCATTGTGTAACTTTTCTGGAAAGGGTCTGCAACCTGTCTCCATGTGTCCATGTCAGTGCTTTGGTTTAAATTGTCTACAGTATGGAATTAAACTAATCTGTCATTCAACTAGAGTGTTATTTATTGCTCAAAAATATCTTAAAAATCATCCATTCTTACTGTGATTAAGGAGAAAGACAGCAAATCTAACCTGTAAATTGGCTTGTAAGTCTCCATGTAGATTTGTAAGTTAAAGGCCATAGTGTGGAACATTCTACACTTCTCTCCATGGAGACAAGCAGGTGACGGACCCTCCACTTGCCAAGTTACGCAGTGCGCCTTTAAATTCCTATTATTTTTTGTAAACCTAAAACTTTACAGCAGCAATGTCTTTCTCAGAGTACTTTTTCCTTAACGTAATTGGTTGTCCTTGAAAGGTCACTAAGTAAGTAACGTAATGAGATCGCTTTCCAAGTTTCTGTTAAGTGTTGACAAGATGTAGAAAACAAACAGTTGGGGACCCATAGAGCGACCTGCTGTGGAGGCGGCGGGTGCTTCTTAGCTCAGTGTCATTCAGGGTCAGCCAGTGCACCACTACACATTCAGGTTACATTCAACAACAACAGACCTCCTCTCTTTCTCCACAGGTCAAGAGCTGGTCAAGAGGGGCCTGCCTACTTCCTGATCGGCTGGGGTCAAAAGTTCAAAATGCAAAGGTCAAGAGCAGGTGGCCCAGAGATAAACAATGCACAATGAGACTGAAGATCTGCAACTGGATAAAGGCACAATAGTCAGGTACAGCTAATAACGCTACAAACTACAAACATGAATTAAGGTACTATGTTAAAGCAAGGGCTGTAATTGATATAATACAAAATACTGCTCAACACTTGATGGCAAATACCCCCAAATCCATGTAAAATAGGTTAGGTCTGGTCTTTTGAAAGAGTTGTCAATGGGAACTGAATTACTATTAAATATTTGTCAGTCGTCCAGGTATGATCCATGACAAATGATAAATTCAGTTCTGCTATTAAATCATGTCTTCATTCTCCATACTCAACTATCATTGAGGCCATTGCTGCCCTCCAGCTGATTGACCAAGATGTGGCTGTCACCATTCATCTGTCATCTTCTTGAGGTATCTTAAAGCTGCATTATGTAACTTTTTAAGTGGGGAGGGTCCAACACTTGTTTCCAAGGCAGTGTCACTGCTTTCCCTGGAATTTTTATTGTATGGCATTAATCTTGCATTATTCAGCTAGCAGTGTTTTTATTGCTTAAAATATATTAAAAATGTGTATTCTGTATGTGTGCCTCTCCACAGATCTGACATGTAAATTGATCTTGTCTTTATGGAGCTCGGACCATTTTAGGTAAATCTTTAATATCTCCATGGGGTCACGTAGGTAGCAGCCATACGAAGTGACACAGTGCAACTTTAAAAACATGAATCAATCTATGGTATAATGTTATTTTCTGGTGGAACAGAGTATTTTGAGCTTTGGAGATGAAGACAGATGAAGGTGAAGACACTAATAATAAAGAATTACTCAAACGTGTGAATGAAACAAAAATTACTCTGGGTATGTTTTTGATGAGGTAACAGTTTTATAACATGGCATAAAGCCCACAAGAGTCAAATTTGCGTAATACAGGCTATTAACATAATTAAAATGTATAAAAGCAATATATTTGGAGAGAGATATATTGTCCTGAAATGAGCTCAGGCAATGCTAGCGTTTATGCAGAGGACCCCGAGTGTGGGTGAATATAAAGGTTGCATCAGAAAAGGACATCAAGTGTAAACCAATCACTATGTAAATCACTGCACTCCAGGACGCAGATGATTCGCTGTGGCCTCCCTTGATTGACAAATTCAAAATGAAACTAGCCATCGCATGAGTTTGATTATGATCCTAAACTTCAATTGCCTGACCTGCCATTGCCTTCTACATTCTGTTCGAATCCAGAAGGGACTTGAACCAGACAAAAGAGTGTGAAAATCCTCCATCTAAACCTGACTGTCCAACCACAGCTGCTAATTTCATGTGCTTCTTAAATGCGAAAGACATTTCCTCTCAAATATATAACTTATTTTACCTTAGACAAATAATAGTTTTGGTGCTTCAGTTGTTGAGTCTGTAAAAATCCATGCTGTTTCTTTGTTCTTAATGTTGTTTTTTCCCCTTTTTTATAGTAAGCAGCCATGTTTGTTTTTGATGCGAACTGGCCATGCATCTCTCTGATTGGTTATTTTACCTGTCAATCAAAACCCCTCTGAAATCAGAGAGACAGGATATAGCTCCAGATCCACTCATCTTTTTAAAGTTTTGTCAAAGCGTGTGGTTCTGGCTGGTCACGAAAAAACAACTCATAGTAGCACTTAGTTTAGCGACTTTTTTTAATTTATTTTTTTTACACAGAATACATCGTCTCCTAGTCTCCATCTTTGCCCTTTTCATCGTATACTTTTCACATGCCAGTCAAAATCACTTATAATTATGTGTGAGGTTTTATTGGAGAAGAGAGGACCAATAGAAAAGACTGGAGGTCCGACTCTCCTAGCAACAAGCCGTGGTGCTGCTGTGCGTTGCCATTAGCCGATACCCTGAGGAGAGATCATTTGGAAACTACTCTTTCTCCTCCGTGTTGTGACATTAAACTGGCTACGGTCCGTCTCTCATCAGCAGCAGCAGCCGCTTCACTGCAGCTTTGATTTGTCCCAGAGTAGAAAAACACATCTTTTACTTTCAAACAGCTCTCAGTAATCATCATGATGTCTGTACTTTGTGTGTGGAGTCTCATTTTGTCCACCGAATATGACTGGAAATGGGAGATTCTATGTAGGCACTGAATGTTTTTAGATATGAGTTCTTCTAGAGTCAAATGTAAAATAATGAGAGGACTGAGCATGTGGTTATGAAGTAAACATCAGGCAAATTCTAACATTTGGCCCAATTTACAGTATTTTCTGATCTATGTTATAATGCTGTTTTCCGATCACAAACCTATCTTGATTTGTGTTTTGCCTCATTTACACATTTTTAACACACACATCTTGCATATTTAGACTGAGGTCTTCGCTCAAACAGAAAATACTTTTTTTCCACCTTGTGATGTCATGTGGTAATACACGAAGTGCTCCACTGTGTTTATAAACTGCATACTCCTTCCCTACATTCATTTGAATCATTTCAGCCTTAGAATTGCCATTCTCTACTGAACAAAAAGTAAAAAGTTGCTGTTAACTTGAAAATTACAGCTTCATGAAATCACAAAATGGAAGAGAGCATTTTGAGCTTTGGAGATTTAGACAGACTAATAATAAGGTGTTACTCAAACATGTATAAATGAAACAACAAAACTCCAGGTATGTTTTTGAGGAGGTAACATCATTCTAACATGGCTTTTTGTTTTGCAAAATATAGGATCTTTAAACATTTGTTCTCAAATTTCATGCATGCGTTCAATTCGATATGACAATATTGTTCGATTTTCAACATTTTATTTAGTTTTTTCGTCATTTAAAACTAATAAAATTACTTCAAATATTAAGTTTCAGGACAGACATTAAATCAATGCCATTTAATACAAAATGGTCAAATTTATTCCTCCAAGCACTGCTCCAAACCACATGCTTTTACTGAAAGGGGATTGGCTGTGGTAATGACCGTTAGAAATGACAGTTAGACAATTAGAAATCTTTTTGGCATGTGTCTTAAACTGCCCTTTCAATTTATCGTGGTTTAGAGCTGATAGCTTTTAATATTTCTAGTAGTTCTCTATGGTTACAAACATATGGCGGACCTCCAACCAGAAAAGTTACATAGTGCAAGTTTAATTGTCTTAGAGTTTTATTGTATTTATTATCACATCTACTACAATAAAACAGATTCATTATTTACTAACATTTCTTTGGTTTTCTATAAATAAAAACACACAGTTGACATGTTTTGGAGAGCTATGGGCCAGACCTGAGGACAAAGAAAACTCCAGGTGGTGTCACTGCTTTGGGCCAGAGTGGAGTTAGATTACCTGAGGCTACACCTGTCTGGCTGTCTGTCTCTGTGTATGTGTGTATCTGTGTGTGTCTGTGTGTATGTGTCTGTCTCGTGTGTGTGTGTGTCTGTCTGTACCCCCCACAGAGCTGTCGGCAGGGCGGTCCGATGGAGGAGAGCATGGCCCTTCTCCTATTGGCTGTGAGGAGAGGAGTAGATATAGACATACCACAGAAGTCCCTAGCCGCGGGTTGGAGGAGCAGAGGACTTTTGATGTTCCAGTGTCGGTGTGCGATTTGTGTTGTGTTTTTGTGTGTTTTTGTGTGATTTATGTGTGTGTATGCAGACCCGCTTAAACCCTGTCAGCGTGTTGGGCCTTCAGAGACCGCTCACTGTCAATATGAGATCTTGCTTCTGTCTGACGTCTGACTGAACTATAGAGAGTCAGGTTGCCAGATTGTTTTTGACAAATAGCATATTTTTCTCTTGCAAAAATATAGTTATGTATCTTTTTTGACACTACTTTATAACTACATCTTAATTAGCCTTAATAAAGCATGAACAGAGACTTAATTCATAATTAACAAATAGTTTATTAAAGGTCTTATATTATGCTAAATTGTGCTTTAAGCCATGTCAGGATGTTGTTACCTCCTCACAAACATACCTGGATTTTTTATTTTTTTTTGTCACATATGTTTGAATAATTCATTGTTATTTGACTGTCTGCATCCTCAAAGTACTCTCTAAAGTGCTCAAAATGCTCTGTTCCACCATGTGATGTCATGAAGATGTATTTTTCAAGTTAACAGCTGCCTTTTACCTTTAGTTTAGTAGAGATGGGAAATTCTGGGTCTGAAAATATCCAAATGATTCTAATGAAGGTGTATAGAGTTTAACAACACAATGGAGCACATGCTGTATTATGAGATGACATCACAAGGTGGAAAAGAGTGTTATCAGTTTGAGAGAAGAACTCTGCCATATGTTAATGAAGCAAAATACAACTCCAGGTATGTTTGTGATGAGGAAACATAAGATGGACCCTTGAAGACGGTATTAATGAACCAGTTTCTAAACCTGAATCATTCTTAATAAACTATTTGTTCATTATGAATTAACTCTTTTAACTCTTTCTATTCATGCTTTATTCAGGCTTGTAAAATGTGGTTATTATAAAGTGTCACCATGTATCATATCATTGAGATATTTAACAGTTAAAGTAAGCAATGGTGTAACTATGGGTTAGAGGACCATTTGCGGAATACATATCACACATTTCTTTCCTTTCATATCAATGTCCAGTTCTGTATACATTATTATTATACTACATAAAGAATAAATAAAACAAGGCTTCCAATATTGGATCTCTAAAATTGTATGCACATTTATTTTTATCATCTCACAATTAAGAAGACAAGAAATAGATTTGATTTTTCCCCTATCACACTTCTTTTGGGTACTCCTGCTTGGCTGCTTTAGGTGCAGAAATTAGGTGTGAAAACTGAGTAATTACATCTGCCTCTGCCAAGGCTCCACGACAACACCTTTAGTGCACACACCCTAACCTCTTCTCCTTTAAAGGGTCTATTTTAGCCTATTTTCTCATCTATGTTATTATGTTGATTCCTCATCACAAACATACCTGTAGCTGTGTTTTGTTTGATTCACATGTTTAACACACAGACCCTGCATATTTAGGCTGAGTTCTTTTCTCAAACAGAAATTCCAATGTTTTTAAACTCCAAGCACCTTCACTAGAATCATTAGGATGATCTCAACCCTGTAATTGCC